ATTATCACAATATTGATTCCTCCTAACCATGAGCATAGAATGTTTTTCCATCTGTTTGTGTCCTCTCTTATTTCCTTGAGCAGTGGTTTGTAGTTCTCCTTGAAGAGGTCCTTTACATCCTTTGTTAGTTGTATTCCTAGGTATTTTATTCTTTTTGTAGCAATTGTGAATGACAGTTCATTCGTGATTTGGCTCTCTTTAAGTCTGTTATTGTTGTATAGGAATGCTTGTGATTTCTGCACATTGATTTTGTATCCTGAGACTTTGCTGATGTCACTTATCAGCTTCAGGAGATTTTGGGCTGAGATGATGGGGTCTTGTAAAAATACAGTCATGTCATCTGCAAATAGAGACAATTTGACTTCCTCCTTTCCTAATTGAATACGCTTTATTTCTTTTTCTTGCCTGATTGCTCTGGCTAGAACTTCCAATACTGTATTGAATAGGAGGGTGAGAGAGGGCATCCTTGTCTAGCACCAGATTTGAAAGGGAATGCTTCCAGTTTTTGCCCATTCAGTATGATATTGCCTGTGGATTTGTCGTAAATAGCTTTTATTATTTTGAGATATGTTCCATCAATACCTAGTTTATTGAGGGTTTTTAGTATAAAGGGCTGTTGAATTTAGTTAAAGGCCTTCTCTGCATCTATTCAGATAATCGTGGTTTTTGTCTTTAGTTCTATTTATGTGCTGGATTACATTTATAGACTTGCATATGTTGAACCAGTATTGCATCCCTGGGATGAAGCCTACTTGACCGTGATGGATAAGCTTTTTGATGTGCTGTTGCAATCAGTTTGCCAGTATTTTAGGGAAGATTTTTGCGTTTATGTTCATCATGGATATTGGCCTGAAGTTTTCTTTTCTTGTTGAGTCTCTGTCAGGTTTTGGTATCAGGATGATGTTGGTCTCATAAAATGATTTGGGAAGGATTCCCTCTTTTTGGATTGTTTGGAATAGTTTCAGAAGGAATGGTACCAGCTCCTCTTTGTATGTCTGGTAGAATTTGGCTGTGAACCCATCTGGACCTGGGCTTTTTTTGGTCGGTAGCCTATGATTTGCTGCCTCAAGTTTAGCCCTTGTTATTGGTCTATTCAGGGTTCGACTTCCTCCTGGTTTAGGCATGGGAGGGTGCAAGCGTCCAGGAATTTATCCATTTCTTCCATGTTTACTGTTTTATGTGCATAGAGTTGTTTGTAGTAATCTCTGACTCTAAGTTGTTTGTAGTAATCTCTGATGGTAGTTTTTATTTCTGTGGAATCGATGGTGATATCCTCTTTATCATTTTTTATTGCATCTATTTGATTATTCTCTCTTTTCTTTTTTATTAATCTGGCTAGTGGTCTGTCTATTTTGTTGATCTTTTCAAAAAACCACCTCCTGGATTTATTGATTTTTTGAAAGGTTTTTTGTGTCTCTATCTCCTTCAGTTCTGCTCTGATGTTATTTCTTGTCTTCTGCTAGGTTTTGAGTTTTTTTGATCTTGCTCCTCTAGCTCTTTCAGTTTTGATTCTAGGGTATAGATTTTAGATCTTTCCTTGCTTCTCATGTGGGCACTGATTGGTATAAATTTTCCTTTAGACACTGCTTTAAATGTGTCCCAGAGATTCTGTTATGTTGTTTCTTCATTCTTGTTGGTTTCAAAGAACATCTTTATTTCTGCCTTCATTTCATCATTTATCTAGTCAACATTCAAGAGCCAGTTGTTCTGTTTCCATGAAGTTGTTTGGTTCTGAGTTAGTTTCTTAATCTTGAGTTCTAATTTGATTGCACTGTAGTTTGAGAGACTTGTTTTGATTTCCATTATTTTGCATTTGCTTAGGATTATGTGGTCAGTTTTAGAGTAGGTCCAATTATGTGGTCAGTTTTAGAGTAGGTACCACGTGTTACTGAGAAGAATGTATATTCTGTGGATTTGGGGTGGAGAGTCTATAGATGTCTATTAGGTTTGCTTGGTCCAGATCTGAGTTCAAGTCCTGGATATCCTTGTTAATTTTCTGTCTTGTTCATCTGTCTAATATTGACAGTGAAGTGTTAAGTCATCCTTTTTGGGCTGGTTTCTTCCCATCTTTGTAGAATTGTCTACCTGTAGTCTTTGTAGTTGACTTTTGGATGGGGTCTCTGAGTGGACATCCTTTTTGATGATGATCAAGTCATTTGTTTCTGTTTTTTAGTTTTCCTTCTAACAGTCAGGCCCCTCTGCTGTAGGACTGCTGGAGGTCCACTCCAGACCCTGCTTGCCTGGGGATCACCTGTGGTGGCTGCAAAACAGTAATGGTTGCTGCCAGTTTCTTCTTCTGTTATCTTTGTCCCAGAAGGATACCTGCCAGATGTCAGCATGAGCTCTCTTTTATGAGGTGTGTCTTTGGATATATGGGGGTCAGGGAGCTGCTTGAGGAGACAGTCTGTCCCTTATAGGAGCTCAAGTGCTGAGCTGTGACCTCCATTATCCTGTTCAGAGCTGCTGGGCAGGCACATTTAAGTCTGCTGCAGCGGAACTCATAGCTGCCTTTTTTTCCCAGGTGCTCTGTCCTGGAAAGGTGGGGATTTATTTATATGTTTCTGATATGCTGCTGCCTTTTTTCAGAGATGCCTTGCCCAGTGAGGAGGTAGCCTAGTCACAGTCTGTCAGCAGAGGTGTTGCTGAGCTGCCGTGGGCTTTGCCTAGCTGCTGTGTGAACCTCCTTGTGGTTTTGTTTATAGAGGTATAGTTAGAACTGCCTCTGTAATGGTGGTCTGCCTCAGTTATGGCAGACTGCCTCGGTAATGGCAGATTGCGTCAGTAATGGTGGACTGCCTCAGTAATGGTGGACTGCCTTGGTAGTGGTGGACTGCCTCAGTAATGGCTGCCCTTCCCCCGACAGAGCTGTACCATCCTGGGCCCAGCTGTGCTTGCTGTGAAACTCTCAATCCAGAGCATTTCAGATTGCTGGTCTTTGTTGGGGTGGGACCTACCGAGCCAGATCACCTGGCTCTCTGTTTCAGCCCCTTTTTTTTCAGTTGAATGGGCGACTCTGTCTCCCAGGTGTTCCGGGTGCCAGTTGAAATGTCCGCCCAGATTTGTGTGAGTTTTTGTGTGGAGACCCTTTGCGCCGGTGCTGGAGACTTGTGGTGCTTTTCTGCCTGGGAATCTCCTGGTCTGTGGGCAGTAAAAACTGGTTTGGAAATGCAGTGATCACTCACCCTCTGCGTTCTTGCCGGAAACTGCACTCCAGAGCTGTTCCTATTCTGCCATCTTGTATCTGTTTCCTCTTTTTGTATAACTTTTTGTTTTCTTCGGAGTTCTTAATTGCTTTGATATTCCTTTTGCTTCATTTTCTGTGTATTTAGAGAAATGTATCATCAGAATGCCAAACATATATCAATATTACTTTTAGAAATGGTCAAGCATATTGGATAATCTATGAATCTTCCCTCCTGCCGTTTTCCCTAGAGACCTCCTCCTGCTCCAGTATAGACTGACTTTTTTTTCTAGTGTCTGATGATTTCATAATAATAAGTCTTTGATGAGGATGTTTGGTGAGGATGACACTCAATGGGCTCTTTCTAAATCTTAGGGAATTCTCTGTACATTATAAGCAATTTTACATAAGCAAATTTTGAAAGTGTGTTTTTGGTATCTAATAATTAGTCATAGCAGGACCTCCTTCATTTTCTGCTTAACTAGGTTTACATAGTAGCATGAAGAGAATGTTCCTGATTGTGGATAAAGTACTATATCTGGATGCTTGAAATGCCTAGTGACTAAAAGTAGAATTTGCTAATATATAATTCAAATCCTATTTCTTGACATGTATATTAACCTTAGGGTCAGTCACCTGAATTTTAAATTCCACATAATTACTAAGAGTATATTCCCAGACAATTTCTTATACTCCTAGTGACACTAGCTAGTGTAAAAACTAGTTTTAATATAGATAAGTTAAATATAATTAAAAAAAATTTAAAACATGGCACAAAAATAGTTTTATATACCAGTATTTATTAGTTGCATTAGAAGCTTTACTTAACAGTGGAGAATTAACTATACTAGTACCAATAATAACTTTTTATTTCAGCACTTTACATATATAGAATATGTAGTTATTTTTTACTGTGTACTTTCAGAGTAGGCCAATGGCATTATTTTACTTTGCTGAAGTAGAAATTAAAGCCTTTGAAATTCATGATTAAGTTTTCTTATGGGAACTTCTTGTTCTCAGATAATTCATCTCCCTGTAAAGGAGAATTAGTCTTTTCCTAGACAATCCACATGTAAACCATGGAAGACACTGATTTTTTTGGGAAGTACACATTTTTTTTCAGTGTGTTTCGCTATATTTTAATATCATTCCTTTTCAAGATTGTTGTAACTCAAATGTGCTATTCAGCTGAAGTTTTGTAGAACATGGCTCTCTACTTTTATTTGATTTATTTTTATTTATTTCCTGAGAATATTGCTGGAAGAAAAAAATGCTTTTAAGTATTTAAGGTCTTGGTTGAAACACTCATCCCTGGTAACCTTTACAAGCAGAGATTAAATATGTATGATCAAATCATTCTCCCCAAATGCACCATGGCCTCTGGAATGCACCTGGCCTCTGCCTAGACCTGTAGCTTTGAAGCAATGACACATCTCAGGATGCACCACCCTTCACCCTTCCTTTTCTGTCTTCAGCAGTATTGTCCATTGAGAGTTGTAGACAGACATGGGGATGCTGAATCCCCAAGGGTAGGGGTAGTTTGCCTTGTATGCCTATTTTATTTTTCAGTTAAGGAATTGGGTGGTGGTGGAGTTCATGCTGAGGGATGGGTGGGGTCAGAGAAACACCAGCCAAATATTTTGGCAGGATTATGACATTTCCCTTACAATTTTGGATACTTTACAATGAATTATTTTTCTATTTGTATGTGTTGTGTAAGGAGCTACTTGCATTTATATTGTATTACTGGATGCTTACCAAAAATAAATGTGTTTACTCAGTCAACTGATTATGTAAACTTTTCGTTTTGTGTCATCAGTTAGAGTGCACATCACGTCTCTCTGAAGAACAGTTAAAGTGTCTTCTGGATGAATGCATAGTTAAACAAAAATCCATCGTTAAACTTTCTTCAGAAAGAGAAAATGACGACATTGAAGACGTAACACCTGTGTTTCCCCAGCTTTCCAGATCCATCATCTCTGCATTACTAAATGAATCAGAAACAAAGATCCAGAAAACTGAGGAAGAAGAAGCAAATTTGCTTGAGAGTGCAGAATGTGAAGCTTCTAAAGGCTACTATCTCACTAAAGCCTTGGCTGGACATCACATGTCAGAAGCGCTCATCATTGAAGCAGAGAATATGAAATGCCTTCAGTTTTCTGAGGATAACATTGTTAATGACACGAAAGACTATTTTATGTCGAAGACTCTTGGCATTGGGAGACTGAAAAGGCCCTCTTTCTTGGATGACCCACTGTATGGTATCAGTGTGAGCCTTTCATTAGAAGACCAACATCTGAAACTCAGTCCTTCAGAGAAAACAGAAACAGGTGAGGCTTAGTGAACAAGTGTTTTGGTAAATAATTCTTGAAAGCACCTCAATATAAAGGTATCATGGTTTAAATTAGAGCAGGATAAAAAGGCATATTTGTAAGTCACAGATAGCGTCAATAAGAGCATGCAGACATAAAATATATTTACCAATGTTCTTATGAAATCAAGGTTGAGGTTAGTACTCCTATGAAATACGTTATTCTTGGTGGTAATTAATTTTGTCATCCAGAAAATAATGTTGGTTTCACAGGAAAAGAGAAATTAGTTTGAATGGAGAGAAATAATTGGAATAGATTTGCTTAGTATTTCAACTTCATACTTTAGTATTTTCAAAACGTTAGTGATGAAAATTTGTTCTAAGGAATGAATTTAACGTGTAAAACACCATAACTCATTGTGGTTATATTAGTTTCTATGTGCAGACTTCCTCTCCCAACCTACTCCTATGTTCAGGTATTTCATCATGATCTAGTATTGCATCTTGCAATGGTACAATGGTACAGGATACAACTACAACTAGTTTTTGACACAAACAAACATTCAATTATTTATGTTAGAAATCTGTGTCACAATTGGTGAATCTATTTAAATAGATTCAACTTTTACCTCTTACATAGATTCCTCTAAAATAGATTGGCTATTAAATTTCTATCTAGTAATCTATTTCTTATTAAATCTATAATCCATTAACTCTGAACAGAGTCAGATTTCCGTCTTGACTTCCATTTCTTCAATCACACAGGCTCAAAATTTGAGTCATTGAATCATCCCTTTCTTGCTTCCCACTTCTAGTGTTCAGGTGTTGTTTGTTCTATTCCTACGGGGTCTCTCCTGCCCGTGCCTTCCTTTCTCTTCCTACAACTTCAGCGGGACCAATGTCTTGACCCTTCTTTCAGACCTCCCTGCCTTAAATCTCTCTTTTCCTCCTGCCATTGTTGACAGCCACCAAACTAATTTCCTTATAAGCACAGCTTTGATAACCACACTTCCCAGCTCAGAAACCTTCTATGGCTCTCCAACTGCCTATTGATCAAAGTCAGAATTCTTTAATTTGCTGTTCAGTGTCTCCATGGCCTTACCTGAAGTTCTTTTCCTAATCAATCTCTAATTAGTCACCTAAATGTTATTCAGTGTATAGCTAATCTGATCTAAGGATTTCCAGTGATTTCCTAGCCTCTGCTGTTGTTCAGGCCGTCTTCTTCCCAGAAATGTTCAGGTACCCCTTCAACGGTAGTGATTCCAACCTTATCATCTCTGATTGTAGCCTTCTCTGGTGCCCTCTGTTAAAACTTTTCTATCTTCTGTGAATGTCCAAGCACCTTGGTTTTCTGTAGGATCACATACACACCTTCTCTTCCTTAAAACTGTGTAATGTTTTTAAAGCAGAGATTCTATCTTGCAACTCATTGCTACATTTTCCATGATGTCTTAAGTGCTCTCTTAAGCCAAGTGCCTGTTTAATAAATATTTTAAATGTATAACCAGTTTTAGAATAAAATACTGAAAATAGGGTTCACATTCTTGACTTTGCCAATGAAAGTAGGTAATGTTGCTTAAGAATTATGTAAATCACACATTCTATATAAACATCTGTTTGTTAATAATCCTCACCTGTTCAGAGAGAATAAATGAGTGGGTCAGTCTGCTTGAGGCACTGAGACCAAATGCTGTCAGCTCCTGAGGCTCTCAGCTGGGAAGGCTATTGGCCCCCAGATAGTCCTGCTTCGTTGTTCTATCTGGGTGTCTGCTTCTCAGTTCCTTCAGTGCCACCTGGATGGGGGTCTGTACGGCCGAGCTGGTTCTCTTTTTTTTTAAGGCCAGATATTATTCCATATTGTGTATATACCACGTTTTCTTTATCCATTCATCCATTCCTGGAAACTTAGGTTGATTCCATATCTTGGCTATTGTGAGTAATGCTGCAGTGAATATGGACGTACAGATAAATGCAGATATCTCTGACGTATTGATTTCAATTTCTTTGGACATGTACCCAGCAGTGGAATTACTAGATCATATGATAGTTCTACTTTTAGTTTGTTTGAGGAACCTCCAACAGTTTTCCATCATGGCTGTACTAATTAGATTTCTGCTATCAGTTCCAGGGTTCCATTTTTCCACAGCCTTGCCAGAACTTATCTTTCATCTTTTTCTGTTTTTGTTTTTGAGACGAAGTCTCTTCCTGTCACCCAGGCTGGAGTGCAGTGTGCAATGGCATGACTTTGGCTCACTGCAGTCTCCACCTATCAGGTTCAACTGATTCTCCTACTTCAGCCTCCTAAGTAGCTGGGATTACAGGCACATGCCATCACGTCTGGCTAATTTTTTAATTTTTAGTAGAAACAGGATCTCACCATGTTGGCCAAGCTGGTCTCGAGCTCCTGACCTCAAATGATCCACCTGCCTTGACCTCCCAAAGTGCTGGGATTACAGGCATGAGCCACCACCCCTGGCCTTTTTCATCTTTTGATAATAGCTGTTCTAACAGGTATGAGGTAGCATCTCATTTTGGTTTTAATTTACATTTTCTTAATGATTAGTGATGCCAACTATTTTTTCATGAACCTGTTGGCCATTTTTATGTTTTGTTTTGGAAAATGTTCGTTCAGGTATTTTGCCTATTTTTAATTTTTTTTTTCTGCCCATTGAGTTGTTTGAGTTCCTTATGTATTTTGGATATTTATCCCTTATCAGATGTGCTGTTTGAAAATATTTTCTCCCACTTTATAGATTGTCTCTTTATTCATTGTTTTCTTTGTTGTGCAGAAGCTTTTTGGCTTGATATAGTCCCATTTGTCTTTTTTTGCCTGTGCATTCAAGGTCATGTTAAAAAAAAAATCATTGCTTAGACCAGTGTCACCAATAAAACATAAATATCGTTTATTCTAGTAGTTTTACAGTTTTGGGTCTCATATTTGTCTCTTTAATCCATTTTGAGTTGATTTTTGAGTTGATTTTTATACATGGAGTGAGATAAGGATCAAATTTTATTATTCAGTTTTCCCAACATCTTTCCCCATTGTGTGTTCTTGGCATCTTTGTCAAAAATCAATTGACCATAAATGCGTGAGTTTATTTCTGAGCTTTCTGTCCTGTTCTGTTGGTGAAGTATCTGTTTTTACACCAGTACCATGTTGTTGTTGCAATTACAATTGCGTTATACTTTGAAATCAGGGAGCGTGATACCTCCAGCTTTGTTCTTTTTGCTCAAGATTGCTTTGGCTGTTCAGGGTCTATTGTGGTTCTATATAGACTTAAGGATTTTTTTTTTCATTTCTGTGAAAATGACATTAGAATTTTGGTAGGAATTATATTAAATCTATAGATAACTTTGGGTAGTGTGAACATTTTAATTATTCATTCTTTTAATCCATGAACATGGGACATCTTTTAATTGATTTGCATTTTCTTTATGTTCTTTCATCAGTGTTCTATAGTTGTCAATATGTAGTTCTTTAACCTCCTTGGTTAAATTTACTAAAGTATTTTTTTATTAGAGACAATTGTTAATGGGATTTTCTTAATTTCCTATTTGGATAGTTTGTTTTTAAATGTATAGAAATGTTCCTGATTTTTGTATGTTGATTTTATATCTTGTAACTTTACTGAATTTTTTTCATCAGTTCTGACATTTTTTGGTGAAGTCTTTAGGGTTTTCTATAAATAAGATCATGTCATCAGCAAAGAGAGATAATTTCACTTCATTTCCCATTAGGGTGCTTTTTATTTGTTTTTCTTGCCTGACTCTAGCCAGGACATTAAGATGTTGAAAAAAATGTGATGAGAGTAGGCATCCTGTGGAAAAGCTTTCCACTTTTCACTGTTGGGTATGATGTTAGCTACAGATTTATTTTATATGACCTTTATTATGTTGAAGTGCATTACCTCTAAACCTAATGTGTTGAGAATTTTTATCATGAAATGGTGTTGAATTTTGTCAAATGCTTTCTCCGCATGTATTGAGATTATCATAAGGTTTTTATCCTTCATTTTATCATTAATGATATACATTATGGTGTATCCCACTTATTAATTTGCATTGTTGAACCCTCCTTGCATCCCAGGGACAAATCCCACTTGATCATGTGAATGATTCTTTTAATTGCTTTTGAATTTGGTTTGCTAGTATTTTGTGGAGGATTTTCACATCCAATCAGTGATAATGGCCTGTAATTTTTTGTTTTTTCTTGTAGTATTCTTGTCTGGCTTTGGTATCAAGGTAATTCTGGCCTTGTACAATGAGTTCGGAAGTCTTTCTCCTGCTTCAATTTTTTGGAAGAATTTGAGAAGCACTGGTATTAGTTCTTCTTTAAATGTTTGGTAGAATCCAGCAGTGAAGCCATCTGGCCCTGGGCCTTTTTTAGATAGGAGGCTTTTTATTACTGAGTCAGTCTTCTTGCTCATGAGAGGTCTCATGAGGTTTCTTTATGATCTGGTCTTGGTAGGATGTATGTATCTAGGAATCTGTTCACTTCTAGGTTGTCCAATCTACTGGCATATAATTTTACACAGCAGTTTCTAATTACCCTTTGTATTTCTTTGGTGTCAGTTGTAACATCTCCTCTCTCATTTCATTTTTGTTTTGTTTTAAATAAGCAGAAGTTTTTAACTTTAAAAAGTATTTGTTTTTGCTTTCTAATAGCACAACACATGTAAATTTGTTGAAGGATATTTGAAACATACAGAAAAGTGTAGAAGATAAAATCATTGTCCAGACCCATTCATTGTTAATATTAACATTCATCTTTTTTTCTAGTTGCATATTTTATATTCTGTCTATATTCTTCTTATAGTATATTCTACTATTTGCTTCTTTATATTTTGAGCATTCTCTGTTATTAAATATTCTTTTAAATCATTCATTATAATGGCTATAGTGTATCCTATTGGTGTATGATAATTTAAGCATTTCTTTATTTTTGGTCATTTATGTTCAGACTCTTCATATAAGCTAAAACTATCATGAGACACAAGTATGGTCATAATCATTATCTTC